TTCTTTCTTTTTTTTTTGTCCTTTTTATTTTTTTTTTTTTTTTAAATCCATTTCAGACTTCAACGAAACGCAACTACTCCGGGGGCTCATGCGAAATAAACAAACTTTCACACGACGCCCACCCATCACACTATTGGTAAACATTCGTTTCTTTGTCTTCTTATTATTATTACTTGGTTTATTTGTTGTTTACTTTTCTTTTTTTCCTAGATGCAACTTCGACTCTTTTTAAAGTATGACAGAAGAGAGAGAGAGAGATAGAGAGAAAAAAAAATCCAGAAGAAAAAAAAAAACCACATTTACATTTTGCAAAAGTAGTAAATTCTATGAAGTTTAAAGATGCAGAGTTTTTTATACAAGAAAAAAAAAAATAAATTAAAACGCACCAGAAAATTTGTTGTATTGTCTTACTAATAATTAAATATATATCGAACGAATTATTTGGTTATGTATCTCTTAATTGATTTAGCAAAATATATAATAATATTAATAATATGATCGTTAAAAATTCTTAGTAATGAGCAACGATAAAGAATTTTTTGTTCTCTTTCGTAGTAATAACGAAAACCCTTTTTTTTTTCTTCTTCTTCTTCTTACAATTTTTGTTAAGAAACCATAACAACATTTCTTATTTTTTTTTTTTCTTCTTTTCATTCAATTACAAAAAAAAATGAGATATGAGGTTATGTTTTTTTTGTTTACTATAGTTTAAGAAACGATAGAACGCAATGCAAAAATCTATTGTAATTATTACAATTAAGACATATTATTTTGTATACGATTCCATATTGTTTACAGATTTACACAACGGGGTGGTGGTTGGGAAGGTATTATCAATGTCGTATATAGAATCGCATACAATTAAAAATGATTATCACATTTAATATTCTAACTATAGTTTAGAGTATTAGTATAGAGACTGTAAAAAACCTTTGACAGAAGATTGCACGATCAAAAAATTAATGACAATAATTATATTATAATATTATAACCATGGAAATAATTGTAAAACTTTCATAATTTTTTTTATCTCACTTTTTAGAAGATAAAAAAAAATCATTACTAGTCATTTGTTTTCTGTTTTTCTTTTTTTTTTTTTTTTTGGTTGTTGTTTCATTGCCAATTCGTATTATAATTTTATTTTTCATCTGCATCTGCGTATTTTTTTGTTCTCTTTTAAATCATCTTCTTCTTTTTCTTCTTCCTTTCTTTCTTTTTTTTTTTTGTTTTGTTTTAGTTTGTTTAATTATTTTCTTTTACTCGCATTGGAAAATACAATAAGTGGAAAAATTGCATTATCTCGGTAATAATAATATATACCCTTACAACTAACAATTTATATTTCTCTACTGAAGACATACATTATAATACATGATTTCATTCTGAATGATAATGTATGTTAGCAATAGAAACGTATTATAGTTTCTTTCTTTCTTTCTTTCTTTCTTTCTTTCTTTCTTTCTTTCTTTCTTTCTAAAGCTCACTTTCAAAATCAAATTCAAGATGGAGGAAAAAAAAACAAACCAAGATTTGCGCAATGAAATTTTTCTCACAAGAATTATATTATAACTCTCGCGTAAAATCTAAATTACGCTTTCGTGATTTCTTTTTTTCCAAATGTAAATTAATTAACTTCGCTCCTATAAAATGGAGAAAGAGTTGTTGAGACAAAAAAAAAAAATAATAATAATAAATGACATTTCATCAAACCCATTTTTTAAATTCCTATTTTTTTTGTTTTGAGTGAAGAGAAAAAGAAAGAAAACGATTTAAAATTCATTTAACATTATAATACTTTAAATCACAGTATTTCACGTTTTAAGATGGTAGTAAAAAAGAGAGATGGGGAGAAAGAAGATGTGCATTGTTTGTTTTTTTTTTTTTTTTTCCTATAGAAATATAATAATAATGATGTTGTTGTGTTGTTGTTGTTGTTGATTTTCTTATTATACTTTTTTTTCTTGTTTTTTATTTTCCTTCCTCTTCTTTTTCTTTTTCTTTTTCATTTCTTCTTCTTCTTCTTCTTCTTCTTCTTGTGCACACAACCGACAACGGTTTTGAATATTTTCACCCAAAAAGTATCATCAACGTTTACGAATGGTATTACAAAGAGTGGCGGCAATTGGGCAAGACCGTTGTTGCACTCTGATATGCATTATATTGACCGAACCTTTTTTTAAATATTACATGAAATATGAAAATTTCAATGTTTTAGTTCATCATTGATATCCAATCTCAGTACATTCTATCATTAAACATACGTTCAATTTACAAATGTAATATTGGTAATTTTTCAAAATATGAAATTGATGTTGTAACGTATTAATCAATCAATACTACCTTTTCTAAAAGAATATTAAAAAAAAAAAAAAAAGAAAGAAGAAAAAAGAATAATAATAATAATCTTTCTAATACGTCTTTTTTTAGAAAATCTTCTGCTCAACGAATTTGCTTCTTTTTTTTTTCAAAATGGCAACCATCATCTCCGTGTGCACTTTTTTTTTATACACATATATATTATTATTATTATTATTATTAATATTATTAATATTATTATTATCACCATCATCATCATCATCATCATCATCATTACCATATAATAATTAAAACGTTCAATTTATATTGTTTGACTTATTTTTACTCTCTTGTTACTTCCATCTTGAAAAGTAAATAATCTGTTTAAATTGATATTATAAAATTAAATCATGTTAAACCGCTTTTATGCGTTTTTCTCTTTTTCTACGTATACCTTTCATTGGGTATTTCGTATGTTACAGCTTCTCTTTGCTTCATAATATGAAACATCTACCTATTCGCTATTAATGCGTGCATTAATTTCATTCCGTAAACCTAAGGTCATTATGGCTGGTGGATAAAACTGTTTTTGTTTAGTTTTATAACTTTTTCAACATTATCAACTAATTAGAAATTCTAATCGAGAGTTATTGTTCATGTTTGTGTGTTTGTGTGTGTTTGTTTTTTTCTTGCGTTTTAAGGTTAACTCTTAACACACACATCAGACACATTATTCTTGTTGTTGTTATTGTTGATCTTCTTCTTCTTTTTCTTATTATTATTATTACTATTATAATTATTATCATTATTATTATTTATAAATGAACAAGATTGGAAGAAACAAGAAAGAAAAAGTTAATTACAAGGTGGAACACAAATTATAAAGAAAATGGGGTTTCTTTCTAACGACTTCTGATTTATTTTCTTGGCAGTTAAGCGCTCATCGTATTTTGGATATAGGTTATGTTTTTTTTTACCGATTATTTAGAACCATGTTTTGTACCAAAATTCTTTACGACATAACCTTTTACGTGTTTAATTCTCAAAGACATTTTACATTTTTGAAACATTTCTTGTAATTTATTTTAGTAAAAGTTTTTCATTTAATTTTGGTTCTTATCGTCATCGTCATAATAACATTCAACATTACTAATATAATAATAATTATTATTGTTATTATAACTATTCTGCGTATGTAGCAAAGAGAGATTTGTTTGTTTCAAACAAAAAAATGTAATAATTAGAAGTAGTCAGAAAGAATCCCAAAATCTTTGTATATATATATATATATATATACATATATATACATATATATATATACACATATATATGTATATACATTAAATGCCACCAGCCAATTATTTATAAAAAATAATTATATATAAAACTAGTCAATTTTACAACATCTGATTCTCAATCACGATGAATAATCATGAAAACAAAATCCGATTATGTTAAAAGAGAAGTATATCGATGATGAGACTTAGAATAAACAAAAGAAATCACTTCAATCACTTTTAACGAGGAAAAAAAAAATAACCTCAAAAAACAATTAAAAAAAGCAAAAAAAAATTACGAGAAAAAAAAAGTTCCTCAAAAAAAAAAAAGCAAAAAAAAAATAATAGAAATTAAAAGTGATTTGAATTTCAGAGTTGTTGCATATATTCCAGCATTGACAAGAACGCAAAATCAAGCCATGATCATAAAAAGTTCTCAATACGATATTTAGAATTTACGACTGCGTTTATATATTAAGATCTATAATAATATTTAATTTATAGAGTGCAAAGTTAATAAACACATGGGATTCGTAAAGTTGTTCACATGTCGAATAGTTTTATTACCAAAGAGTAAATTTGGATCACTCTTTTCCAAAAAAAGTAAATCACATTTTTTCTTACTTTTTGTATTTTGTTTTTAAAGAGATTTGTTTTTGATAATAAATCGCATATATATATATATATATATATATATATATATACATATATGCCACACATTTTGTTTTTCTTATTTTATGAAACAACAAAAAAGAGAAAGAACGAAATATATATCGGAAGTATGAAACCATTGTATAAAAATTGATTATCGATTAAAATGATGCGTTTGTGTATATGTGTGTGTGTGTGTGTATGGATACTTCCATGCTGTATTTACATTTATGGTAAAATGCAATGATCTCGATCTCATGATAATAATTATTATTATTATTATTATTATTAATGTTTTAATTCCGCATATCGGGTTGTGAATTCATTGTGCTCTCTCTTGATAATGGCTTGACTCTGACGTGTGTTTTTTTAATATATGTACATTTAAATGTATTTATGTACAAAGAATTATCATTCATACTAAACGCATTCATCACACAACCATCATTCTTAAATCAAGTTTCACTGTTTGTCGTCAATTATACTTTCCTCGTTCTACCAGGCCAGTTACACTCTTCTTTATATACATGTAATTTTTTTTTAACCCGAATCCTAAATATAATGATTAATGAAATTTTCTTAAACCTTTTTTTGACCTTTTACACACAGCACTTTGATCTGAACATAATCCATTCACTATATCATCATCATATAATGCACCATATATTGTTTTCTCTTCCTCTTCAACTTTTTTTGTTTTCTTAATTTTATACACTAGTAATACACACCCGACAAAAATTATCTTTTCAAAGTTATAAGTTACGTTGTTTTGTTTTGTTTTTTTTTTTGTTTTCATCACTCTGCGAGTTTTCCAGTGCATAGCAAAACCATTATGCCTTATAACATTTACGAGACACAATCACTATTTTAACACTTGAAACTTTTCCTGAGGGTGCATTCCAAACTTAGTTATGATACCATATCGAAACTACTTGGACACATTACCCTCTTCCATACTATTATTGTCTTCAGGTCTTATTACATACAAACTGGGGTCTATCACTTTAGGGATAGGTTTTATTTCTGTTCCAAGCTCTTGTTCGATACGATGTAAGTTAAAACGATCCTCATACGTGATTAGATTAATTGCTATACCTAAATGACCAAACCTTCCCGATCGACCAATACGATGCAGGTACGTTTCTGCCATTTTAGGAAAGTCAAAATTGATTACAACGTTAACAGCTTGTACGTCAATACCCCGAGTGAACAAATCACTGCTCACCTATAATAAACACAAACACAAACATTTACATTCGATTTATTTCTTAAACGTACTTGCTTTTTTATAATTTACACATAACCTATTATATTTAAAAGTAATTTATAGGTTAGAATTTAGTACTTACCAGATTCCGACATAAACCTGCTCGAAAATCGTGGAATACACGATTTCTGTGTGCCTGTGCCATTTTCGCGTGTATATAATAACAGCAATAACCAAGATCCGTTATTTTCTTTGCTAGTAATTCTACGCGTTGTGTCGAATTACAGAAGATTATGCTCTGTGTTATTTGCAACTGTAATAACAAAGTTTTTAGGTTAGGTTTCAGAACGATTTTCTTTTTTGTTAACTTTCTCCAAGTTTTCTTTTCAATACACGTCAATGAAAATATTTAAATGTTTTTATTGTATTATTTAAAAATTTAAGAGAATTAAATTAGATTATAGAAAAATGTTACCTTCGAGAACAGCGTGTTAAGGCAGTGAACTTTTTGTCGTTCTTGTACAAAGGCATAATACTGCGTTACACCTTTCAATGTTAATTCTTCCATTAAATTAATCTCATATGGATCTCGCAAATGTTTTTCCATAAACTGTTTTACAGTTAATGGAAAGGTAGCTGAATATAGCAAAATCTGACGTTCGTGTGGCAATCTAAAATGAAACAAAATTAATTAGTTTTTAATTAACGAATAGTTTTAATTTTTTTTCTTTCTTTTCATATATTAATTATATTCTACAAAACTTACTTAGAAATGACATGATCCAACATTCCCTTAAAATCTTGCGACAAAAGCTTATCTGCTTCATCCAAAACTAATATTTTGCAGTGATCCATGTTCGCAACGTTTTTGTCCATAAGGTCAAGAATTCTTCCTGGTGTTGCTATTATTACTTGTACTATATGAATTTACAAAAATTAATTATATATAAATTATCTGTTTGTTAATATTTTATACAAAAATACATTATATGTATATATTAAATAAAAATATTATAAACCTTTCTGATAAATCCTCATAATATCGTCACGTAAATTGGTACCACCTGTAGTTACCATTACTTTAATATCCATATGTTTTGCAAGTTCAATACATATTTGTGATGTTTGAAGGGCTAACTCTCTGGTAGGTACAATTACTAAAGCTTGAATTACATCTTTTCGTGGGTCGACCTAACCAGAATAAAATTTCATTAAATTACAATTAAAAATTCAAACGAATTTTGTATTATAACCTCTTTAATTATAGCAACACGTGAAACTTGTGTCCACTAGCTTAAACATAAGAATTAAAAAAAAAATATATAACCTCAATTTTGTCACAAAGTTCCACGTGTAAAGTTTCAAAAAAAGAATTATAAATTGTAAAGATTATTAGAAATAAAAAACATACCTGTTCTAGTACTGGAATAGAATATGCTCCAGTTTTGCCAGTACCATTTTTAGCTCGAGCCAAGATGTCTTTACCAGACAAAGCAATGGGGATACTGGCTTCTTGAATTGGAGATGGTTTTTCCCAACCCTTTTCAAAGATACCCATTAGCAACTCTCGTTTCAGGCAAAATTCTTCAAACTCGTTACCACGTGTGTCAGTGACATCCTACAATATATATAAATATATTTATTTTTATTACAAAAAAGAATAAAATAAAAAAAGAAATTTGAAATAAATAATAAATACAATAATATAAATGTAATAACTTACACTAGTCTTTATACGTTTATCCTTTGGTGGAATTTTTAGTTTGGCTTTCCAACCTACATCGTCCATCTTTTCTATCTCTGTTTTCGTATTGAGAGCAGAATTGAGCATGTGGTTTGAGTTCATATGTGTTTCGGTCATCATCTTGGAAGCAACGTAATGTAATTACTTCCTAAAAAAAAATAAAACGAGAAATAAAATTAAAATATATATATATATATGTTTAATTAAAATTCTTATAACAATTTATATCGACAAAAATATTAAATAAAGTATCAGAGTCGATAAAGTTTCTATTCAAAGCATATTATAACATAAGAATAATATAATAAATCTTTCTTATGGATTATATAGAATTTATAATAACAGAGAGAGAAATATAATGTAAAAGAAAGAAAGGAAGAAAGAAAGAAAGAGAAAAAAAAAGATAAACAAAGAAGACCTCTGACTAATATTGACTCCAAACCCCCGTAGAAAGTCTTAATCTATATTTACTTTCAATATTGTGGTTTTTATATATTCGAATCACATTATTAACGTATTAAGTTATGTACAAGCAAAGTCGTTAAATTCAAATTGAATACAAATATATATGTATATATACATATATATCGAAATACTGTAATTAAAATTTTCTATAACGTTAAAAGTAACCTAAAAGCATATATTTATATAAATGGAAAATTTCATATATTAAAATATATAATAAATAATTATATAATAAATAAAACATTAGATAAGATATAGGGAAAAAAAAGTATCTGTTTGAAATTCGGTTAACGTAAAAAAAAAAAGACCTTTCTTTCTAGGTCCGAATTAAACATACATACACATACAATTACTACCACACCAATATACCTAGGTTACTAATTTAACGTACTTTACACAAACATACACACATACATATATATATATATAAAACTTGATTAAGCCGCCAACTTTAACGAGCGAAATTTTCGAAAGTACCACGTACACAAAACGAAACGTGGATACAAATTTACATCATAACGAACAAATTTAAATGAAAATTCAAATGGATCAAGATTTTTGTAATTATTCAAGGAATCAGATTAAGAGAAGAAGAAGAAAAAAGGCGTTTCTACGATTATTATCGACGAAGTGAAAAAAGAAAGAAAAAAAAGAAACAGGACGCGTGGGTATACTTTTTTTTTACTAGGAAAGAAATTTCTCTGTAGGGACAAAAGACTGGAAGAGTTTAATGGTGGGGATAAACTAATGAAAAAACGATGGGAAGAAACGATATACCTTTCGTTTGTAAAGAGAAAGAGAGATAGAGATATGATAGATAGAAACTAGAAAATTCCTAAAAACATACGTTACTGTTAATCATTCTTATGAAATGTGATTGAAAGAAGAACGACAAGAATGAAAATTGTATAAAGAAAACATCGTTATGATCTAAATAATTATAGTTAACGTATCTCTTACCTCGAAATGGATGGATATCGATGCTGTGCGCAGCACTCGATTAGGAAACAACACGCCAAAATGGCCGTTCCAATGTCAAGTTTTTATGGTCTCTTAGCAGTACGTTGAAATATAGCCGTGTTTAATTTATTTATTTCTTCGAATTTTACGCGATTTCTAATCTTGGATAAAGTTTACTTTCGCGTTTTGTAAGTAAATTTTTTTCCCATTAACTACTCGATACTCCTGGCGATTTCTAATTTACAACTAACGCACTGCGTCAAATGCTGACGATTAATACTTGGCTTAAATCTTATACGAGATACACCACGAGAAAAGAAATTTTACTCAGAAACGAAATTCTCGAAGGCTTTCCCTATGGTGCATATATATTAAACTATCCGATACAGATGGCGCTACATTACAACTTCCCCATCTTAACGGAGTCTTTTCAAGTTTACAATGATCGATCGATGCTGGACTCTGATTGGTCGATTATTAGCAAACATAATATATATTTATATACAATATCTTCTTAATTAGTTAAAGAATTAATTATTCGTTATTCTTTAATTTATTTATTTTATTTTTCATTTATTAATGAATTAATCTTTCCAATAAAAATATTATATTTTCCACATAAGAATTTTTGATATCTTTTCAGTTCAACTGTTTTGATTTATATTCGTTTCTGATTGGTTGATTAGTAGCATTAAGAATATACCTTTCTCTTAAGACACTTATTTTCTTATTTTAAGTAATTAACTAATTTGTAACAAAAAGGCTTGCTTCGTTAGAATTTAATTTTATTTAAAAAATAATTACTATTTTTCACGAGATATATATATATATAATAACTATTCTTTCTTAAATAAACAGTTCTTGCGAAAGCGCATGCGCATATCATTACACTTAAAAATGTACCAAGAATATTTAGTCAACTTTACACGAACAAATTCGGTAAATAGAATATAACATTTTTTTTTTTTTATTTTTCTTTAAACATTCATTCGAATAAAATTTAAAATCAACTTATTATTGAAATAAATGAAAAAGAAAAGTTAAAAAGCAAAAACCAAATGACAAAACTATAACTTGTATTAGTACATAACCTTTTTTTTACGACGAAAAATATTAAAAGATATCTCATTAATGAATCTTTAATTAAATTGTTCTCTTCTCTGAGTTATACGATATTTTCTACAAGCTTCAGGACAATGGCGTTCTAAATATCGTCTTTGTGAAAATGCTTTAAAGCATACACCGCAGCGCCATTGCCATTGATGATGATTTCTTGTTCTTTGATGAGCTCGTAAATTTGATCTGAAAAGTAAACATAAAAAAAGGAATAAAATTGAAGAAATAATTGAGATATCAATTAATTAAAAATGATTACCGATCGGCAAAAGATTTGTGACAAACTGGACACTCGAAAGGCCGTTCTCCAGTATGAAGTCTCAAATGTCCTTTCAAAACCCACGGCCTGTCAAAACATTTTTGACAATATGGACAATAATGCATCGTTTTATTTTTTTTCCAATTTGAATGGTTATCGATATCAGGTAACATTTTATCTTCCTTCGTTAATTTTTTGGTCGTAGTTGTAGTAGTAGTAGTAGAAGTAGTACTAGTACTTGTACTAGGAGTAGCGATATTGGTTAGAAATAAGGTTTGCGGTATCGTTTGAATTTCCCGCTCTTTTGTACTTTCGTTAAATTTAACATCTCGACAAATGATCTTTTCCTCGTTCCCCCGTTGATACGCCGTAAAATTTGATTCGTCAATGTTAGATTGTACAGTTTGAATTTCTTCAGTTTGATTCAACGAAGTACCTGATACACAAATATACAAAAGAAATTTATTATTTAATATGAAAATAATGATTTAACAATATGTAACCTTCGTTAGAATTAATATCGTAGAAATTGTAGCCAACTGATAACGTTTCATTTTTGAAGAATAAATTTTCATGGGAATTTGAGTCATCCAAAGGTTTTAATTTCCATAATGAATCATTATTCTTTTTAAATGTATATCGTGTTACTATAGGAAGTCCGGAACACATCCAAACATTGTTGGTAAAATTGTTATTAACTTCTTGAGTACGTTTTTGTCGTTTTAAATCCACAGATGGTGGAATCCATTTTAAATCTATATCCTCTGAGAAAAATATTTCATTAACCAATCGTTATTATTAATTAATATACAAAAAAAGAAAACTACGTAATAAATATATTGAACACAAGATATACACACAAATATTCACTAATTTATATTACTATGGGTAACACGTTGAACCTAAAAACACAGTATACAAATGTATAGTTGGCAAACAAAAAAAATATAGAAAAGAAAAATTGAAAAAAAATATATATATATATATATGAAAAATACCTTCGCAAGAATCTTGAGTCTTCTGATATCTTGCCATAGATCTTAACAAACATTTTGGCATATTATTCTGATATTATTACACTTGTTAACAAAGTACAAATAACATAGATGATAAACGTTTACCATAACGAGAGTTACATGCACAATATGGCCAATACAATTTCGTCATTTTAACGTAGTCTTTTGTTTTATTCTTTCTTTCTTTCTTTTTTCTAAGTCAGTAGCGTATTAAGAAAAAAGTCTTACCAAATAATTTTTAAATTTTAGATTTTTTTTTTCTTTTCTTTTCTTTTAATTAAATTCAATATGGCGGATGGCGGTTTTACATTATTGTTTTTCATCCCTTTACCCCTATACATGTACACAACATATGATTAGATACTTTTTATATGTAAAAATATGTAGAGTATTTATATTAAATATTATTAATCATTTTTCTTCTACATATTTTTATATATATGATTTCATTTGAATGTAAAATATTCAAATAGTGTGTGTATGCATGTGTATGTATTTAGAAACTTGGATATTTTGTATTTAATTTCAAACGTAGATCAACTTGAATTTCTATTTACAAATTGATTCTTCTTATAGATAAATTGAATATCCAAGAAATTCAATATAATTGTATATTTGCTGATACATCATCAATGTCGACCTTTAATAACCTTTGATAACGGTTATTCAACACAAAGACAGGATGGATATAATTTAAATTGATGAGACCATCACAGTACCGGCCGGACGTGCTTACAGATTGTACGCTTCTATCGTTTTGAATTCTACTCACTGATTCCAATTATACATCTTTATATACATATTGCACATATACATATACACATATATATGTATATATATATATTTTGATTTTATTAATGTGAGTATTCAACATGTTTCATTTTTGCGATGATCGATTATTCTGAATGATGTTTTTTTTATTATTTTCTAAATTTCACTGTTAATGTTTTGTTATTTATTTATTTATTTATTTTTTAATTTGAAAAAAAAAGTAATTTATTATTAATAAATTTATAATGATAATATTGTATATATGATATAGTATATATATCAATAATAATCAAACTTTTTATAATTATTTCTAATTTATTTTATATAATATAAAATAATTATGTATATATATTATTTTATATTTTATATTTTTTATATTTATTGTATATATATATATATATATATATATATATATATATATATATATATATATATATATACNATATATACATGTATATGTATATATTATGTTAATAATATAATAATTATTATATTTTATTAAGTATAATAATTATTATTTTTTTTTTATTTTTTTTATTATTTTATTATTATTAATGTATATATATATATAGGGTGTTCAAAAAAATTAGAACCAAACTTATACTACTTAGGTCAAATAGATGAAAAAGAAAGTTCATATAAATTTATTATGCACGAAAATATTTGATTCTAAAAATATTTATTATTTATTGTGGTAGTTATATAAGAAATATTCGAAAAAATCCTTATTCTGCAAAAATGCAAACTTCCGTTCGTCAAATTAGCATTTGTCGAATTCTTTTAAGTATTTCAACTGTATTGGAAATAATATTAAATACATTTTAATTATATTCTTAAAGTTTATTTTCTATTTTTATCGTATTGTTATGAAGCAAATGTTTTACGTGACTTTTATCAATAAATAAAAGTCCAAAAGAGTATTAAGTTAGGTGACCCCTGTAAAGTTTACTGAATCATTGCGTGAAAATTATAATATGCATACGATTTTATAAAATAGAATTATAACACGAATTTTGTCCGTAAATCTGATGAATATTTATATATGTTCAACAAAACATTTTCGAACATAAATTTCTATGAACTTTGATCAGTAATACATAATATAAGTTTGATTCCAACCTTTTTGAAAATTTATATATACAATATATATATTTTTTTCTTTTAATATAATTTCTCATAGAATAGAATATTTCATAAATATTCATTTTATTTCTATTTAACCTTCAGATATATATATATATATATATATATTATATTTACTTACATAAACTCTTTCTTTCTCTATAATATCTATATTTATCTCATAACAATAGTATTGTTTCCATTTTTCTAACTTACAATGTGTTTGAAGGTCATTGTTTAGAAGAAATTCTCTTCAAATCTAAGCTACTTTTCTTTTTTCTTTTTTGTTTTTCCTCAAATATTTTTATTTCATTATTATATGTAATCATGCGTAATGTAACATATTTAAATAATATTTTATATATATATATATATATATATATATATATATGGGCTTTTTATTTTTTTTTTACAGATAATGTTACATTTTTTTCGTACAATACTATGTTGCATTTTTATTTCACAAGTTATTTCAAGAGGTAAGATTTACAAAAATATTTTAAAAGAGAAGAAATACAAAAAATGCTCAATTGTGTTAACACACTATCAGCGTGTCGGGTATTTTTACCCGTTCCACAGACTGGCGCTGGTCGGCGGGTCGCGTATTAATACGTTTTATACAAAACGTAAGCTAAGTTTCAGTTAAACACTTACTAATGCTTGTTTTTTTTTTTCATTGTCACTAATTTTTGAGCAGGAATGATGTTTTTGGTTGTTTTTTTTTTTTTTTGGAAAGTCTGACCAGTTTTTAGTCCTAAATTTATTAATTTTTAAGAAAAACTAATAATTTTATGAAATATGTTATTTTGGCATTGCAAATTTCGTGCTTACAAAGTAGCATAAATTCAATTGATTGATTTTGATAGCATTAACTTTAAGTTTTTCACATCTTTGAAATAATATTTGATACCTACTTTTCAAATTTCATTGAAATCCTACTATTAGATGTGAAAATATAACATGTTTTCTAAAAAGTGCACTGCTTTCATATTTCGCTCATTTTCGCCCGCTACGCGCGTGAGTCAAGCTCACGACGTTTCCGACGATAGTGTGTTAATTAATATGCATATAATTACGAATAATTATTATTATTTAATACAATATTTAATTATGATGTGGAAATTTAATTTTTGAATTTTGTGTTTAGAACTTCGATGCGTGAAACCACACTGGTTCAAATGCGAAAGCGGAGAATGCATATCGTACACATTCGAATGTGACGGTGCATACGATTGCAGTGATCAATCGGACGAGAAAAATTGTAAAAATTTCCAAGTAATTATTTCAAGACTATTATTATTATTATTTTTACAATTATTCGTATGCATTTATTGATAAAAAAAAAAAGAAAGATATATTAAAATATTATTTATTTCTTTTGACGTGTTGTTGTTGGCGCGCAGTTTAAACCAGTGCCGGTAAATTGTACCGAGAACGAGTACACCTGTAAAGACAACACCTGCATATCAATCGAAAAATTTTGCGACTTGTGGCCTGATTGCGACGACAAAAGCGACGAGTACTTCGGATGTTACAAAGAAGTGGGCAAAAATTATGATTACGATAAATAATTCTAATAATTATCATTTATATCTTAAAAGACAATTTTCAAATTTTATTTATTTTAATGTAACCATGTATTTCTATTATTTTTTCTTTCTCTTCGTTTGTTTTTATCTTAACTTTCTCTCAGAAACAATGTAAGAATTTTCTATGCAACAACGGCTATTGTGTAAGAAAAGAATGGGTTTGCGACGGGATGAAAGATTGTCCAGACAATAGCGATGAGATTAATTGCGGTTAGTAATTTTATTTATTTATTTATTTATATTTAGTTTAAACGTATTTGTGCATACTTTACCTTTAAAATGTATAATATTGTTAATTAGTGAAATAATTTGATAATTCATGAAATAACTCTATATATTTATAAAGAATTTTATTATACACTTTAATTTGTTATCTTGTGAAATAATAAACAATATATCAATTAACAAGAGGCGAGTAGAGGGAGAGTTAAATTATAATATTGAAATTATATTTATTAATATATTTTAATTATTATTAAATATAATATTATTTAAAATAATATATTAAATTATTATAATTCTAAATTATGTTTAATAATATATATAATTAATAATTATATATTATATGATTTAATATAAATTTATAATAAAAAATATATATAAAATAATATATTATAATAAAATAAATATATATAATATATATAATATATTAATAAAGGTTATTTAAATATTATATAATATAATATAAAATATAATATAAAATATAAAATATATAATAAAATAAATATATA